CTTCACTTTCAGTCTGTGTGAGTCCCTTCTAATGAGGTGGGTCTCTTGTAGACAGCAGATGTATGGGTCATGTTTTTTTATCCATTCAGCCACTCGATGTCTTTTGGTTGGAGCATTTAGTCCGTTTACATTTAAAGTTATTATTGAAAGGTACTTGTTTGTAGCCATTTCTTTTTTTGTGTGTGTGGCTGTTTTCTTTCTGAGCTTGTTATTTCTTCTTTTTACACCAGTCCCTTTAGCATTTCTTGCATGGCTGGCTTGGTGGTGATAAACTCCCTTAGCCTTTTTTTGTCTGTGAAGCTTCTTATTTCCCCTTCAATTTTGAATGATAGCCTTGCTGGATAGAGTATTCTTGGATTCAGTCCTTTGCTTTGCATCACTTTGTAGATTTCTGTCCATTCTTTTCTGGCCTGATGTGTTTCTGTTGAGAAATCATTTGATAATCTAATGGGAGATCCCTTGTATGTAACTTTCCGTCTCTCTCTTGCAGCCTGTAAGATTCTCTCTTTGTCCTGAACATTTGCCATGGTAATTATGATGTGTCTTGGTGTGGGTCTTTTCGGATTCACCTTGTTTGGGACTCTCTGGGCTTGTGTGACTTTTTTCTTCCCCACCTCAGGGAAGTTTTCTGATATTATTTCTTCGAATAGGTTTTCTAATCCATGTTCATCTTTCTGTTGTTCTGGCACCCCTATTATTCGTATGTTGTTTCGTTTCATGTTGTCCCAAAGCTCCCTTAGGCTCTCCTCCTGTCTTTTAATTTTTTTCTCCATTTGCAGTATAGTTTGGGTGTGTTTTGCTTCCTTGTCTTCTAATTCACTAATTCGGTCCTCCGCTTCTCCTAGTCTACTGTTGATACTTTCAATGGAGTTTTTTATGGCAGCTATATCACTCTTCATTTCTTCTTGGGCCTTACTTAAGTTGTTGATTTTTTCATCTGTTTCTTCTAGCTTCTTGCATATGGTATTGAATTTTTCATCTGATTCTTCTAGCTTCTTGCATATGGTATTGAATTTTTGCACTGAACACAGATGTATTCACGATATTAATAACCCCAAATAAAGTTGCCCACCCGAGCAAAGAGAATTAGGGGATAAGGAAGAAAGAAGAGAAAAAGATAAAAGAGAAAAAGAAAAAAAAAGGAGTGCAAAAATGAAATTGGGAAAAGGGAGAAAAAGAGAAAAAAGTAAGAGAGAAAAGAAAGAGAATGAAATAGAAGAAGGGAAGAGACTATATGGGGAGAAAACTCCAATAGAACCGCCACTAATCCCAACAAATTCCAGCAACAGATCCCTGGAGATGAATGTAAACTACAAACAACCACTAATATCAAGCGAGGCGAGGCGAGGGAAAACAGAAGCACAAAAATATAGTTCCGTATATTTTTCCCCATACAAGGCATCTTTATGTGTTCATATGTTAGTGTTGTGTAGAATTTTTAAATTACCTCCACACGGTTTTCTTATAGGGCAGGTCTAATAATGAGAAGGTCTAATTATGAGAAAGTTTTGAAACTGGAACAGCTGTTTCCTTCCCATTGTTTTTCATCTGTTCTGTCAATATTCTTGTTGGATGGTTTTTGTTCATTTATCAGTTCCATGTTTTATCTCGTGCCCTTTCCCCCCAATAGTTTTCTGCTTAGAAACCCCCCTTAGAAACACCCTAATGATCTTAGAGGAGATGTCTTTTCCATGAGGAATTATTTTTTTATATGTTTTTAGGTAGTATTCTGGTACTCGTGATATTTTCATTGTTTTTATCTGTGCTCATGTTATATTTATTCCACTTAGAATACAGTGAGCTGCTTGTATTTGTGTCTCTTTCTCCAATTTTCAGGATCTTTAAACGATTAATTTTTTATATAAGCTAGCTATTCCTTTTCACTATTCTCTCTCTATGGGGTTGCCTTGGTGGTTGATTTGTTAGTGTCTTATGAGTTCCTTAAATTCTCTTCACATTTCCAGATATTTGTTGGCTTCTCTTGATAAAAATCTTAATGAATTAAAATTTTAATGATTTATATACAAATTCTTCGATTATTTACTATTTTTTAAAAAATGTAT